GTCCCTTCTCCAGCGCGAGCCGCCGCAGGTGAACACCACGGCTCTGATGAAGTCTCTCCCACAGAGCCTCACCTTGCTCCCTTCCCCTGTCCCTTCCCGTGCCAGGAGCAGGAGAGCGAGGCAGCCCAGAGCCAGCAGTGTGCCCCTCATGCTGCCAACGTGCTGCTTCCCAGTTGGGTGTGGGGAATTCTGCTGGAGCCTTCCCATTTATACCGACGCTCTGTCCACTCCACTGGGTAACAGCTCACTCTGAGGGTGGCAATGTTTGCTGAAAACAAATAAACTGCTTGTTTCTGGTCATGGTTGAAGTGCTTTGGGATCTCAGTCAGGTATGAAAGATTTCTGTACGTAGCTGCTTTACTGGGAACTCCTGAGGTGTGACAGTTTATGGGGTATGGCTTGGGTGGATGCAGTTAATGTGTGTTCTGCCAGAACAGAAGGGTGTTTGTGGTGGGATTTGTCCTCAGTGGGTTTGGTGTCTGTGTTCCCCACACAGCCTGGTGCCCAGTCCTGACTGGGGTCTGTTTGTGTTGTTGATCCCAAAGAAGAATGGAATGAACTCCTCCCCATGATGTCTGCATCGTGCACCTCTTCATTCCCCACCCTGGTTACTGCTAGCTGTGGGTGCTTGTGGGGAAACCCTGCCAATGCCAAGCACTGCTGGCAAAATCCACTCCAGAGGAGTTTGTGCCATGTATTGCTATCCCAGCCAGGATTCCCAGTGTGCCAAGGATGGGACATGATCCTGCAGCACATGGAGCTGAGTCTCTGCTCTGGGAGCAGGGCTTGGTTCTGAGTTACTGGTTCCTAATGCTGGCTTTGGTGTATTTATGTTTCTATATAAAATCCTTGCAATAAAATGCTTCTAGGAGGAAATTTCTGACTTACATGGTCAGAAATTCCATATTTAAGAACAAAATACATGAGGAACTTTGGAGATCTTGAGCCCTTCCTAGCACCACAAGAATTTTCCAGCACCATAAAGTTACAGGTAATTGATTTTCACTGTGTGCAGGGTGGGTTATGATGTGTTACAGAAAGCTTGTTTTTTAGCAGTAAGCAAACAGTCACGGGCATGAATGGAAAATACAGGGTGTATTTTGGTTGGATTTATAATAATGATTAACAAATGATTCACCTTAACGAGTGTCTTTCCTTGAAACACACCAAGATGAATTTTATGTCGGGGGAAGTTTGCATGTCTCCTGTCAGGTGTGCAGCACACAGGAGGAAGTGGATGTTAATGCAGCACAAATGATCCTTAATTCAGTGCTGTGTTTGAGTGCTGGGTGTTTATTGTCAGGATAATGAGAGAGGCTGCATGTTCTGCATCCATAAAAGACAGGTTTCCATACATCATGTGCTTGGAGCAGGGCTACAGCTTGTGCTTAATCACTCCTCTGGAGATGCTCCCTGTTTCCTGTGGCCAGCAAGTGCCTGGAAATCCAGCTGGGTAATTTTTTCTGTTTCTTCTCAAAAAAGCCAGCCCGGGCAGCCAAACACTGCCTGCTTTCAACCCAAAGAGAAAATACTTTGGGGGAAAAGCAGAAAGGGATAAAGGCCCAAGGAGAAAAGGCTGCAGAGACCTTTCCATGATCAGGATTCCAGAGGAGGCCACCCATGCCTGAGCACTGGTGGTGCAACAAGGGGACTTCCAGGAGGAAATCGAGGCCGTTTGAAAGAAGTTTCTAAGCCGTGTGGCTTCAAAGAGAAACTTTATTGATTAAAAAACATAACCAGTTTACGTTCACACTACAGCAGGTGTTTCCTGAAGGAGAAGGGATATCAGCTACTGTTTAACAGCTCCAGCAGGAGCAACAATGTCATACAAGGAGCCAACCTGGAAAACAAGAGGAAAAAGAGCTGATTCCTCTGTGGAATTCTGTTAAAGCTGGAAAACAGCACTTTTTGGCAGGGCAGGTCGGGTGACATTTGCGCTGTCCTATTTGGCAGCATGCAATCATTTATCTCGTTTATAAAAGAAATGAATTCCCAGTGGTGTGGGCAGCAGAAGAGCAGGAACCACCACCTTTAACCCGGCATGGTGATCCCAGCTGTTGCAGTACTGCCCGGCTGGGTGTTTCCCGGGATTGCCTGGCCGGGGAAGGAGCCCCGGCCCCGAGGAGGGCACGGCCGTACCTGTTGGGCGCTGGGGCCGGGCAGGCTGGGCAGCAGCCACACGCCCACCTGGCCGCGGCTGTCCCCCAGCAGCAGGCACTCGGCGTTCGTGGCGAACAGCAGCGAGCTCAGCGTCCCCTCGGGGCTGCCGGCACAGCACAGCACCGGGTCGAAGCTGCAAGCCAAAGAGTCAATGGGCACCGTGCATGCAGCAGCTGAAGGGCTGCACATCTCACTCAAGGTTATCTCGGAAACTGGGAAGGGAGGCAGGGCTTGGTTTGGGCTCTGCCTGCAGAAAAATCCCAGCTGCTGTTAACTGAGATACCCTGCTTGCCTAAAATCTGTCCTAACCTGGAGAGTGGTGGTTAATATTTTTGTTAGATGAATAATTTGCAGGATGTGGCAGGGCTCTGGATCCACCAGGGCTGCACGCTGTCAGTGACACAAAACCCAGAGCAGCTGGACAAGGTCACAGGTAACTCAGTCACCTCAACTTCAGACCATCCAATCTTTACCAAAGTAGCTCAGGTTTGTTATTTCTCCTCCTAACTCTGCCACAATTTCTGCAGAGAAATGGCAGTTTTACACTTCATCAGCTCCAGGAGGCATCCAGCTCCTTCCCTTCTCACCCCAAATCTCTGGTAACCACCATCTGCTTTTACACAACGAGTATTTACAAACATGGAGCTGTAACGATCTGATAAAAACACTGATGAGGTAACAACGTGTGACAATTACATTTCAGCCTCTTCCTTGAGAAGAGCCCTTACTCACATGCTGACTCTCAGATCCCAGATCTCCACCCTCTCCTCGTTCACTGCTGCGAAGATGAGGGCAGAGTGTGGAGCCCACTTGATGTCGTGAACAACGGCTGTGACAGAGGTGAAGGTTAAAAGGGGGGCGTGGGAATCCCTGTGCCACAAGAGGATGCTCCAGTCTGCAGAGCAGCTGAGGAACATGTCGGTGCTGCTGGGATTCCAGGCAACTTTGTACACAGGGCCCTGTTTGGAGAGAAACAAAACAGAGCTGGGTGCTGCTGCAGAGCTACAGGATCTCTTCTGGAGCTACCCAGCCTTCCTCCCACAGGTAAGACTATTTAACTCCACAGGGCAATCAGGTTTCTGATTGCTGTCTTAAAACAAAGCCAGAACTAAAGCTTTAAAACAGTTTATAGTACCAATTTTAATAAATTACTTGAAAAAGTCCTGACAGCACAGAAAGTAATCCTGTAAGACTGTGATGCTTTATGCTGTGGGAATTCATTACTCATAGAAGTTTAGGTTTCTTTTGTTGCAGATGCTCACTAAATATAAGCAAGGATTCCATTTTTGAGTTGAGCAGTTCCTGCTGTCCTTGCTTACAGTGTCACTCACCTCATGGCCTCTGTATGTGCCCAGGATCTGCTCCTTGCCTGAGCAAGAGCAGCAGTAGATGTGTCCCTCTTCTGTTCCAGCAAGAAAAATATCAGTGTCCTGAAAGAAAGGGCAAAGTGGCCTAGGTTGGATGGATTTATCACTCCTGCAGAAATCATCCAGGGCTGGAGGAGTTCAGAGCCAAGGAGGAGCTCCTGTGAGTGCTGGGGAAAGTGCAACCACAATGTTGCACATTTGCTGGGCGTGTTCTCCACCAACGTGCTGGGGTTTGACTCCTCAAAATCTTGAATTTACAGCAATCCATGTGGAAAATGCATGAATTCTTCGAGTGCTCTGTGGAGGAAGGACTCAGCTGGATGAAGAGAAGCTCAGCTGAGTTCTGGATGTGGGAGGTGTTGGACAAATTCTCCCAACCCTGGCCATCACTCAGAGGGGAACTGCCCTGAGGCCTGCCCAAGGAAATGTGAGTAACGTGCCTGGGAGTGATGCCTGAAGTTTGAGCTTATTCACCTATAAATCCATTTCCCACCATTTACCCTATAAATCCATTTCCCACCATTTACCCTATAAATCCATTTCCCACAATTCTGTACTGCATTGGTACATAACTCTGAACTTCATATAAATGTTAGCAAGTTCTCCTCACAGCTCAGGCACACACAACAATCCTTTTCCTCTCCTCAGGCACACAGAACAATCCTTTTCCAGCCCAGAACCAAGGACACCACTGCAGCTTCAGCCCCAAAAGTGCAAACAACAGGGAATGCAGGGGAGCAACCTGGGAGGTTGGGACTGCAGAACCTGGAGCTGGAATTGGACAATGAACCACAATATGGAAATGGACCAAAAAAGTGTGGTCCATTTCCATATTGGGGTTTAAAAAGTGGGGTTATGAAAGTGTGAGAACTTGTGACTCATTGTCCATCCTGGGTGTAGCCCTGGCCAGGCTCTTGCACTGCCCAAGGTGTATTCTTTGAAGGCCTTTTAATAAATCCCCTCTTTGTTCCTTTAACACTGCCCAGCCTGTGTTCCAGGCAGCCTCTCTGGGCATCAGGAGGACAGGGCTTGTTTTACCATTTCACCCATTTGGGGTAAACCTTAGTAGCTAGAAAGCAATTTATTTCAAAATTAATATCCTTTAAATAGCAGTGCCAAGTCCCTGGCTAGCTCCCACCTCTGCTGCAGAGTTTTCCTGGATAACACTCCAGCCAGGATGGGCTTTCTGAGCCTACCTTTGGATGGAAGTCAAAGCACATTCCAGCTGCCTGCTGTGATATGGGACCTTCACTTTTCCTTTCTCTCTCGCCTGGCAATTTTTTCTTCTCACTTTCTGTTCGTTTGATTTGCATCACATCTGTGCAGAGAGCAGGAGGCTTGGTCAGACAGGAGCGATCCCATGTGCAGCTCTGAGGTGTTTTGTGGGGTTACAGGTGTAAAGAATGCCAGCTGGGGTCAGAGAGAGCAGTTTCAGGGCTCACCAGAGCAATCCAGCCTTTGCTGAATGAACCACTGGGTCATCCTCCCATCTCCTGAGATGCACATCAGTCTCTCCTCTTTGTCACCTTCTTCCTGTTCCACCCACTTCAGCTGCCACACAGGACCTTTGTGCTTATTTAGGGATGCACTGGGACAAAAAAATACATGTGGTAAATCACAGATGAGCAAAGGCAAGACAACATGTCTGAAAAATAATTAAGCTTCCACTTTGTAATGAGTGTTAAGTCTTATAACAGAAATGTTTAGCTTTTCTTTTTAAAAAATGGTCTGAACATGGGTTGTTTTCTCCAGGAGAATGTTTCCTTATTAAACATGTTTGATAATTAGTTTCAAGGCACTGTTTATGTGCTTGTGCCATGAAATCAGTCTGCACCTTGCAGGAAAGACTTGGGGAGGTGCCCTTAGGGCAGGTGCTTTCCTCATCACCCACCCATCCCCTCTCCCATTTTCTTCTTAATTTCTGCTCACCCCTCACTTTTGTTTTGGCAAGGGGGATCAGAGAGAAAGCACCAAAAGCTACCCCTGGT